CCCAATTCACAAGGTATTTGTGTTTTATGTTGTACAAATTACACATCATGTACTAAATGTAATACTACAAATTGTTTGGAATGTTCCGATAACCTTTTTCCATATGAAAACAAGTGTATCGATTGTAAAAAGTTCTTTGGTGATTGCGCCAAGTGCACCACAGATGTTTGTACGGTATGTAATACTAAAAGTTCAATTGTTGGGTATAAATGTTTGAATTGTAGTACATACAACACACAATGTTTGACATGTGATTATGAAAAATGCACAGACTGCTTAGCTCCATATACTTTATATAACAAAATGTGTTACAACTGCAATGCTTTTTCTAATTGCCAAAACTGCACAACTGACACATGTAAAGTTTGTAAGAATGGATATGGTCTCACCACAATAAACACATGTATTTCATGTTCTACATTTGGTGGTCAATGTAGTAAATGTACTGGAGACAAATGCATTGAATGTAGCCAGAATTACTTTTTAAAAGAAGACAACACATGTGCTAGTTGTGATAAAATGGAGGGGTGTAGTGTATGTCAGTCTACTGGCTGTTTACAATGTTCTGATGGATATTTCAAAGTTGGAAATACATGTCAGAAATGTATCAATGATTGTATGACTTGCACAAATAATATGACTTGTGATAAATGTTCCAATGATACACTATTTTATAAAGAAGATGAAATGAAATGTACTACGTGTCCAACTGATAACTATTACAAGAAAGATGGGATTTTATGTAAAAAGTGTTATGCTGAGTGTAAAACATGTGACACTTTAAGCATATGCACAACATGTATTGATGGGTATTATATGGCATCTGATGATTTTTGTTACACGTGTACATCTAGAAATTGTTTGACGTGTACAATTGATTCTTGTGAGACGTGTTTGCCCCGGTATGTACTTAAAGATCACAAGTGTGTATTATGTAACGAAGTAGATAAAACATGTTTAAAATGTCATACCTATAATAACGAACAAGTTTGTGATGAGTGTATTTCTGGGTATTGGCTTGAGGATAATAAATGTGTGACCTGTGAAGGCTGTGGTGACAAAGGATGTTCCAGAGAGAACAAAAAGTGTTATAATTGTCCCCAATATGATCAAGTTTTAATCAATGGTACTTGTGTCAGAAATACATTGTGTGATATGACTGATAATAATAATATTTGTATACAATGTGTATATCCATATATATTAGTTGGGGGAACATGCATTAAAAGTGTATCACAAACAACAAATGGCGTGGTGAAATACACAGATTATTACATTAAAGGCTCTGATATTGGCTGTGATTTAATTAAAGATCAACAATGTGAGACATGCAAAAGTGACCGATATTTAAATGATGGTGTTTGTTTGAAATGTGAAGAAATCTATCCCAATTGTATTTCATGTCAAAGTGACTTGACAACAAATATAAAACAAGTGATATGTAACACCTGTCAAATTGGTTACTTTCCAGAAATTCAATGTAAGTCGTGTGAATTGATATATGGCTGTAAAGAGTGTTTCAACGTCTTAAAAAATGATTCATTGCATGCAAAAACGTGCACCAAATGTCAAGACACGTTTAAATTCAACAACGGCAGTTGTGAAAAAGTAGCACATTGTATTCAAGGAAATGAAGACATATGTACACTTTGTGAAAGAAATTACGTTGTGTCGGGTTCGGGGTGTAAACCATGTGGTGAAGTGTATGACAATTGCATAGAAAGTGACAATGACATCTGCACCAAATGTGATTCTTCACATTATCTAGACAGTGATGATTTATGTAGTCTTTGTACCATTCCAAATTGTGTCGATTGTAAGCCAAATGGTGAGTGTAATAAATGTGAAACTAATTTCACACTTGGAACAACCTTAATGAATTGTGTTTCTTGTGACACCATAGATTCATGTAGTTATTGTGATCCAACAAAAATAATGACATGTTCAATATGTTCTCCAACAACCTTTAATGTCAATGGAATCTGTCAGACTTGTGGCTCAATAGATAATTGTGAAGCTTGTTCATCGCCATCAAAATGTGATAAATGTGTGTTGGGCTTTTATCCCGAAACCAATATGTGTAAATCATGTTTGAATATCGAAGGGTGTAAAGATTGTTTAAATTCAGAAAAGTTGTGCACATCGTGTCAAGATGGGTATCTCATGGAATCTAATGTATGTCAAAAATGTAGTAATTTCTTCGACCATTCTGTCTATTGTACACAAAATGAAGCAACAAAATGTGAACCTGGTTATTTCATTAAACATGGGAGGTGTTCTGGATGTGAATCTATTTATGGATGTATCGAATGCACTTCAGATAATAATTGCACCAAATGCGACACTGAGTTAACATTGATTGTTAAAAATGGAGTATCTCAATGTACTGATAACTGTGGAATTGACAATTGCATAAGTTGCAACGAAGACAACACATGTAAACAATGTTCTTTACCATACACATTAAGTGAAGGTATATGTAAATATTGTTATGAAGCAAATGAGCATTGTGGACTTTGTTCTGTTGATGGGAAATGTACTACTTGTGAGTCGAATGAATATTTCCTTGAAAATGGAAAGTGTCTCAAGTGTAATTTGAAAACCGGATTTGACAAT